TTATATATATTCTACTGGATGGTAGGCACCCTGCCACTTATGTGGTATTTGGTATATGGCTTCCACTTGGTCTGATTTGGCACAATCACAACAAATTCCTATAGGCTGTGGTTCCTTCCTTAGGCTAAACATAGGTGGGCACTTTCTATATTTGTATATAATTTTACACACTTTATATGGATCGACTAAGTCTTCATAAGTAATGAAAACCGGTCTTATTTGCATGCATTTTGGACAAAATGCTAAAATGTTCTTTTCTTTATCTGTTTTTGTGACCATCCGGGATTTCACTAAACGACAAACCAAACACAATTTTCGATCGAGTTTATACTTATTCGGAGGATAGAGTATATCCAAAAGATCACCGAAGTCTTCGCTCGACATTACTAAACTAAAAATTATCAACGATTTTCATTTATATCCCCTCTTATATATGTGGTGTCTAGACATCCACTCTACCATCTGGCGGTCACCTGTTTCCAGCCATCTGCGTCCTGCACATCTGGTCTACCATGAGTTCAAGACCACCGGCACATAACGTCAGGACAAGTCAGGACAAGTCTGAATAAGTGGGGGCAACTACATATAGCATCAACAGCTCATTTTAATAAACACTATGAGTTTGGTGGTGCTTAGTAGAAGACTCCAAACGTTTACACAGGGCATTATAAAGGTGAAACATCAAATAACTCTTTACGAAAATAGAAGAAAAATTAAAAAGTTGAAGCAGAGTATTATAAAATTACAAAGTGAATACCAAAGTAAATTTATGTTTAAAAACTTTTCGAGACTATCTTTAACTGATGCGCCTGCGCAGTGGTAAAGTTTATGAACCCAAAGAAGAGAGACTATTTTTTATTTCTCGCAAGGAAGAAAAGAAGTGGATAGACCTGGTGTTTAAAAATATTAACCGTTTCAAAGATGGAGTGTTGCGCGAAGGGTGCCCTAATCGCCCAACATTCGAAAAAACCGCTGCATATGTTCACACAAGAAGAACTATTGAATTTTAGTGTTGAATATTTAAGAAAATATGCTACTCCTTGGGAATTGTTGATGTCTTGGCATAAATTACCAATTGAAGCCACGACAGATTTTGTGGTGGGGACCCGGCTCCCCTGTTTTGTACACTACAATAGACCAGAGATCGAAACTCACATAGATGGACCAGCGCCTGCCCAATCAAATTGTTATTCATGTATGTCAGTAGTAAGATAAAAATAAAGAATTATTTTATAAGTTGATTTTTATTTCTAAAATAAAACAAATGTTAAAAAATATATATTTATTGCATAATAAAATTCTCATATAAGTAAAATACAATAGATAATGAACATATGCTGTTCTCACTTAAATGATGTGGACATTTCGGGGGTAATTTTGGTAGACCCGGGTGTTCATCCATTTCGAATACTGGTGCTAAACTATATTTTCTAATGTACTGCGCCTTCTCCCTTCCTTTTACATAAACTGCTTCTGCATTCTTTGTTACATTCTGGATAATATTATGGAATTCATGTAGCGGTGTAAAACCATGATTCCAATTCAACCCATGGTGATTGGCCATTAACCATATAGCTTGCCTATGAAATTCTTCATTTAGCAAACGCATACGGAAAGGTGCTTTAAAAAAAGTGTGTGTAATTTTTTTCCCATCAAAAGTAGCCAACTCCTTGCAAATAAATTTGTTTTTTTCAATGATGAAACCCTGAACATCTACTATTAAATGCATCTTGAAGACTAACTAGTGATGTTATCTAGCGAGAACTTATATTACTGTTTTAAACATGCGCTTTAAATCTGTTTAACAATTTTTGTTAGTGGATTGTAAGAAAATTCTTTCTCATGTAAAATCAGGCAGTAGGCAGATACTTCATTACCTACATTATTATCGGTTTCAAATTCAATTCTGAGAACAATTGACCCACTCTGCAAAATTTCTTTTTGGTGTGAGCAATCAATGTGGACTATAGGAGCATTATTTTTAAATTCTTCTGGTGTAAATATTGGTTGATTTGTTTGAATATGATAATAACTTTCTTGGAAATTGGCGAACATTTCATATAAAGTTGCAAAGCGATCAGTATTAAAATCAAGATGTAAATCCTGATATGGGTACCGCTCAGAATTCAAAAAAGCACGTATATTTGTTAAATTGAGATGATCAAATTTACTCATATCTTTTAAAAGTTTGCCTTTTCGGGCATTTTGGAATGCTACCACGATATGTCTTGGGCTTTCTATCTTTGTAGTGGTTTTAACAGGCCAGGTATGGCGTGTTGCATTAGACAAAGCTGGATATTCAATTAATTCCCAACTTCTAAACATTAGAGGTAGATCAACATTACTTCTAATTATTTTATTTAATCGAATTTGTTCTTTGATACTAGGTGTTATATGTGGAACATTCCAACACACTTTGATGATGTCTATTTTTGGTTTTTCCGTATCATCTGTAGCGATTACTCCATCAATGTCATCTTTTTCGCGAATTAAAACTAGCTCTTGCCTCATATTCATAACTATTTTCCTAAAATCCTCGAAAAACCCTGACCAGAGCCTTAAGGGGATAGAAACATTGAAATTACCATTTTTATCAATTAGAACTTTATCTTTAGGACACCAACCAGCATTTTGCATAAGTTTACTTTCGTTTTCATTGAGAGAAAGATAATTTTTCAAGGTAGAAACTAAACCTACATTTCTTACAGAGTCTATTGTGACACCATTTAATTCATACCTTAATTCTCTGAACAAATAGGCGATGCCATTTTTAATAAAGTTAAATTTAGTGGGAACTTTTTTCTGATCAGTTAATATTCTACCCTCGATGTATAAGTAACTATTGCTGGGAAAAGTATATGCTTCTAAATCTTGAATTGGGATTCTTATTTCGTCGTTATAATTAAAATTGGAAAATGTGAAAGGTTGGTAAGAATGAAATTGATAATCCTCAATGGTATTATCACTAAATGGCAGACCTGTTACATTAAGAATTTCCATTATACTAAAACTTTAAATCCTAGTGATATTAAGAATTTTCTGTTTTCTGAAGTTAACAGTGCAATGGCTTTTTTTCTACTAATTGTTTCTTTACGACAGTTCCTTTTATATGGATGAAAGTGCCAAACCATTATCCACTTTTTCGTAAATGTAGGCGAATAGTAATAGTTTCGTTGTTAAAATTGACTAAAGCGAGGTCTTGATCTAAAACTCTAACGGTAATGTTGCTTATCGTTTTAATGGTAATTGGATAATAAAGTATTGTCAAGGGTTGCTCGACTATTTTATACCCATTTGGTACTTGGGGGAAAAATTGGTGTATAATATGCACTGGATTACCGTTTAAAAACGAGCCAATGGCAATATTTGCGTCGATACAAATCGTGTTTACTTTTAAAATATTTATCGAGTAAACAGAAGAGTGTATAATATTTGGTTCAAGCTTAATTTTAGTAAATCCAAATAAACTTCCTATAGAGTGATCAACTTCAAAATTTATCCATTCTGTACTCTTTATAGTTACTTTCGATGTTCTTTCATCAGGTGTAATTTGTGTTGTTGTAATAGCAATTTGAAACATTTCTCTTTCTATAATTTTTATTATATCCGATATTTCATATGCACCTACTGGAATCTCATATCGAAATTCGTTGTTTTTACCCCAGACCAAGACATTATTTTTCTCATCAATATTTGGTATATTGTTAAACGTATCAAAATTTGCTAATCCTATTTCGTACTCGCCATCATCCAAGTATATTGGTGGATTAAAATCATCGCTTAGAACAGATGATTTACCGCTTAAAGTAAATGTATACGACATAATGGTTGAAAACAAAATGAATCATATATTACTATTATATTGATTATATAAAAATTTAAGACAGTACTGTCCACACTGGTAGGAATTATATTTTTGTACTACATCATAATTATATCTAATTTTAACTGAACCTCTACTTTTAAAGTATTGTACTAACTCTTTTGGAGGTGGTAAATTTCCATAACTATCAAAATATGTAACTGTGTTATGCTCTTTAATGTATGCAACCCAGTGGGTTCCTTGTTTTTCTTTACTGTCAAGATTAATGATGCCAGACTCATTTAGTCTAATTTTAAGTGGTAGAGAATCACGCATGTAAATACCGCGAAAATGAGGAATTTTTAATAAACGCGCATATTTGTTGAGATCAATGTTAGTCATTATCTTATGAGGTAATTTTAACGGTAGTTCTTTGAATACGGTTTTAAATAAAACCCCATTCCTGTACGTTGTTTTTTCATCCCATACCCTTTGTATGGTCTTAAATAAAAGCCTTTTCCTGTTTTTGCAGCTTGTTCTAATGCTAAATTATGTCTTTGTTGTTCAGCCAACTGTTGACGATTGGCTTTGGCGTCATTTACTGCTTTCGCTATTCCAGCAGCACCTCCACCAACGGCTCCAAGCGCTCCTAATAGAGGTAAAAGAAATGGTAAAAATCCACCTTTTCTGGGGGTAGGAATAACTCGTTTTTTCTTTTCGGCTTTTTTCAATTTTCGTTTAACTTTCTTCGATCTCATACCCATTCCAAGTTTACGTTTTGCTTTCATTCCTGTAGTAACTAACCAAGCCGCAACCTTTTCACCTAACTTTGCGTCTTTTGCTTTAACTCTTTCCCAAGCCTTATTTTCTAAAATTTTATCAGCACTATGTCTTTCACCAAGTTTTTTAGTTTGGGAATAAGCAATATCGTGTTCTTTACAGGCTGCGTCTAATTGGTTAATGCCTCTATCACCTCTTAGTAATCTCTTTTCAAGGTGAGTCCCGGGACCACAGTAGGAAAACCCCGGAATATGTAATTCAATTGGTAGTTTGTTTATCAAAGAATTTACTATTCCTCTTCCTCTTCGAAGTGAACTAATTCGCTTACGTTTCGACATTAAGCTATATATATATACTTCACCCTTTATATATGTTTGTAACTCTAGTATACCCTCAGTTTAGAAATAACATACCCATAATGAAGATTGAAAAACAGAAAACTTCATTACCTGTAAAAAATTATGACATTACAAGTCAGACTTCCACAAAACATAACATTTTTGGCGGAGATGTAAAGAGAGGACTTATTGTTGGTCCTAGCGGATCAGGAAAAACTAATGTCATGCTCACTCTTCTAGAACACCCAAATGGTTTAAGATTTGAAAATGTCTACCTATATTCAAAATCCTTACAACAGCCCAAATATCAATATTTACGTGCTTTGCTGGAACCTATTCGAGAAATTGGTTATTATGAATACGATAAAAGTGAGAACATACCTCCCCCTGAACGCATTAAAAATAATTCAACTATTATATTTGATGATGTAACATCTTGTGATCAAAACATTATCAAAAATTACTTCAGTTTTGGAAGACATAAAAATACAGATTGTTTTTATATATGTCAAACCTATTCAACCATTCCAAAACAGCTCGTCCGAGATAATACCAACCTTTTAATTATTTTTGTACAAGACATAACTAATTTGAAACATATTTATGATGATCATATAATCGATATGAGTTTCCAACAGTTCAAAGATATCGGTGCTTCTTGTTGGAACGATAAATTTGGTTTTCTGGTAATCGATAAAGACTGTGATTTGTCCTCTGGAAGATATCGAAAAGGATTCGATTCATATATAAAGCCGTGATAATACAAAATATATTAGTTACAATGTTACAATTGGGAAAAGAACTTCTTCATTCTCGACAAGCTATTAAAAGAAAATTTAAACTTTATAAGCAACAAAGACAAAAGACCCAGAAACAATATCGAGAACAGTTAGAACCACTAGTAAATCCTATCCAAGAATTATTTTCTAAGGCAAAACCTCCAATTATCAAAAAGGAATTAAAAGTTGAAAGCCCCAGCACCCCCCAATCAAAATACTCCAAGATTTTTCCAAATTTAAGTACTCAAATCGAAAGTCATGAATTTGAACCTGTTATTGAACCTGATTTAAATGAAATTTCCACCTTCAATGAGTTACCAAACTTGTATTTAAACAAGTTTCATCCTTCAATTAGAGAATATATAGAAGGAAAAATTAGTGATACCGAAAATGCTTATGACAATACATTTGGTGTTTATTTTAGCCCCGAATTTCGTGATTGGGCTATTGGTGACTCACCTATAATATTCAAAGAGAGTGGTAACGTAGAAGTCAAAGAAAAAGAATACGAGGGAACTAAAGGTCTTTACGAATTACTTTTTAAGCAAAATCCTATAGAATTTACACCACAGGATTTAAATACTTATATAAATATTATTAAAAAGAGCAATGCACAGTTTTTGGGCTATGATCCATCAAGGGGTTTATCGACTTCAAATGCTAAAAAGTTTGTAGAAATTATTAAACCTATTATTAAAAAAAAAACACATGAAAAACAGCAGTCAACAATTCTGGAAACACCGAAACGTAATTTAAGAAGTAAAACTTCTAAAACAAACCTCATGGAAAAACATGGAGAAGGTTTAATGGATTTTAATAACAAAAAAGTGGAATACAAATATTTTGATGATTTTAACGAGTTGGTTGACAGACTACGCTTGCTTATGGCGTCTCAAATGGCTGGTAATAATGCACACCACAACGAAATAGTTTCTATCATAGAAGAACTGCGGGAAGGTGGAATAATCTTATAAATACATATTAATTTAATCTAACATTCATTTTAAAACATGCCTCTCAACAAGTTCAATCAACATTACCTATCATCTACATCTTCTGATGAAATTGTTTCATCTATCCCAACATCATCATTTTATATTTGTCAACCTTCTAAATATCATAGTAAATGTGTGCTTACTATTCATGGGCATAAAGGTGATGATGGTTTCTATCGACTAGATAATAATACTAGTAAATATAAAATACCAATTACCGGTAAAGTTGAAAACATTCAATGTTATCCAACCAACCTTAATGTTTTATATAAAACAGAAAGCGATAATATAGAAAAGATATTAAATTCAAATATTATAAATAAGGGTGACATACTTCAATTTTATATAAATTCTACTTCAGATGAACTTTTTGTTGAATTTATAATTCAATGTCCTTTGGAAAAAGATAAAGAAGATTCCTGTTTTTAACATCATTTTAATAATGCCTCTCAACAAGTTTAATCAACACTACCTCTCTAGTGGTGATGATGAGGTTGTTTTATCCCCACAATTAAATGCTCCGTTTTATTTTTGTGAGTCTTTTGACTATCATGTCAAGTGTCTGCTTCGTTTGAAGGTAGAGAAAAAAACGAGCTTAAATAAAGAATATTACGTGTTGGATAATGGTGGTATTGCTTTTAAGTTTCCTTTATCAGGTAAAATTGATAATGTTGCTCATTACAAAGCTGATGGTGATGTTTTACTAAATCAGCTTAGTTACAAATTTCATGAATTAGTTAATATAAAGATTATAAAAGGGGATGTTATTAGATTCAAACTTGGTAAACCTGCTTCCATCTGCATTGAAATAGTACTACAGTGCCCCCTAGTTAAAAATGTCTAAATTGCGAGTTGTTGAAGAACTTCATAAACCAGCTCGAATAAATTATCAAAGACGTCATGTAATCGTGAAAGGTTTAAACGATTTAATTCAAGCCGATTTGGCTATTATGTCGCAGTTTTCAAAAGAAAATGGTGGTTATAACTATATTCTTGTAGTCATTAATGCATTCAGTAAATTTGTGTGGGCACTACCTTTAAAAACAAAAACTGGTAAAGAAATTGTTTTTGCTATGAAAAGTATTTTGAATAAAATGCCCCCGCCTAAAAATCTTCAGACGGACAATGGAACAGAATTTTATAATAAGGAGTTCAATCAATTAATGAAAAAACATGAAATTAACCATTATAGCAGTTTTTCAAATTTAAAAGCAAGCATCGCCGAGAGAGCCATAAGAACTTTAAAGTCTTTATTGTGGAAACAATTCAGTTTACAGGGTTCATATAAGTGGGTGAAAATACTTCCTGACATTGTGAATACATACAATAATTCGAGACATTCTACAACGGGTGCTATTCCTAGCAAAGTTAATCAGAGAAACGCCAAGTATATTATTGCATTTAACTACTTAAAAACCATTGATAAACGCAAACCTAAATTTAAAGTTGGAGATCATGTTCGAATAAGCAAATATCGTAGTGTTTTTAAAAAAGGATATACTCCCAATTGGACCAATGAAATGTTTACAATTAAAAAAGTTAAATATACAAATCCAACTACATACATTTTGGAAGACATCAAAAAAGAAGAAATTAGAGGTGGTTTCTATACTGAAGAATTGCAAAAGGCACAATTTCCCGATATCTATTTAGTTGAAAAAGTGTTAAGGAGAAAGGGAAATAAAGTGTTTGTAAAATGGCTTGGAATGGATACTTCACATAATTCATGGATTAATAAAAATAATGTTATATAATACTAAAATAAAAAACTTTTTTTAAATATGTATTTTATTTTTTTTTCTAATACAGGATTAATAATTTTAGCAGTTTCTTCGATTCTTTTTTGGAATCTTGCTCTGTCGGCGGCTACAAATTCCCAATATCTGGTCCTACATGAACATTTTGGTTCAATGTAGTGTATTTTTACATGGTCATTAAACTTGATCATTGAAAAGCTCTGGATATCTATAAAGAAGTTCTAGCGCCATACCATATGTGGTTTTATTTATATTCTTTATTGGTTCCATTATCTTGAGACCAGTTTCAATGGGATTGTTGGAATCAATCCCCATCTTCAATATTTTAAGGGTACTATTAAATTTCTCTTTTCCTAAAACTTCCAATTGGTGGTTAATGATGGGGAGTATTTTCCAAAGCGTTGAAATAGAGTTGGCCCCCAAAATAATCTGTGAGTTACTTGTTGAAATTTTAACAGCAGACATGCAGGGTAACTGCATAAATTCTAGTGTATATTTACCATCATCGATTGGTTGTTGGTGGCTACCAGCCATGAAATTATCAATCACAATTTTATGTGATAGAAAGCTGTTCCACTCGGTTTCACTGAACATCACATAATCTTTTTTGTTTCCACTGATGACAACAGTTGGTTCAAACAATAGGTTATATGTTAAACACACCGACACAAACTTTGAGTTGGATGGGTTTAGGTAAAAACGACGCTCACTCAAATACGGTACTGTAGCTTCCATCGTTAAAGACAGATTAATTAATTTTGAATTAATATCATTGTTTCTTCGGTTCTTATATCCATCTCCCCCCACTCCTATGATGTCTTTTTATTTTATAAGAGCTTAGAATGTACAAGTCTGAGGTTATTGACATCAACCGGATATTGTCTAGACACCAGATGTTGACAAGAATGAACAAGTCTGGAGATGATTCGCGAGAGACAGGCCTTAGGAGTGGGGGAAGGTGTCACTTTTAAATTATAATTAACAATATAAATAGCGAGCGCATTCTAGAGATAGTCTAGTACCATAATGGCTCCAAAGTTCATCATTTTACATGCAATTCTGGGGAATCTTCTCCTGGTCCAGCAGCCATTCAACGCCAGAGAAGTTTTCATATGTTTTGATAGTAATGGTACATTGAATGAAACATGGCCTGTAAAATGGTCAAGAATGACAACATACGTGCCAAACAATATTCCAACTCTGCAATCCGAAATACCTAAAAATAGTTCTAGATATAAATTGAATATTGTACATGGTAATGGTAAGGCCGAATATTCCGATTGGTTGCCTCTTCATGTTGCGTCCCAGCAACAACCTGAGAAGATATCTGCTATCATATATTACATTGCAACATGTTCAACTTTTTCAGCTATACTTCTGATATTAGAATTGTGTAAGGTTTTAAATAAAAAGATATGTTAATATAGAGTGTTTTATTTAAATAAAATAGACAGATATGTATTATATTCAAAATCTGCTACATTAAACAAATCCTTTAATGGTATGTCATCTAGCTCAACCAAATCTTCCATGGGTTTTGGATCCATTTCATCCATGGCCACAAGTAACTCATCCAAAGTTCCTGGAGGATTAAGGAGTAGATGACCCCAGGCAAGAGTTTTTACATCACCAGGAATGACATATCTTTTATCGTCTTTTGCAGAGAGAGCGACCTTGTTTCTCAATTCAGTGTAGATTGTATGCATGTCAGAAACAAAAACATACATTTTTCTAAATATGGTCCCACCATCTTTTACAATGCGAACATAGTCACTCAGCTGGAGTTGGTGTTTGGTGATATGCTTGGATACGCCTTTTGCCTTTTTCAACAGCTTGTTGGCTTCAACGCAATAAGCTTTGGCGCCTGTACCATAAAAACTTTTAATTGGTGCCGATGCGAATTCATCCTTCATTTTACCAAGAATGGATGTTGTTTTTGGTATACCATAGATGTTATCCATTGGGTAGTTGGAAGTGTCAAAATGATGTATATTTTCTTTCATATCCTCGTAGAAGTTGGGTGTGCATATCTCGAGAATCAGTGAATCAGTATCTGTGTACAATAGGGTAGCATCTTCTCCGTATTTGCTTTTAATATATCCATAATAGAAATCGTATATTACAGTTTTTGATATATCCAATATCGAGAAGCCTACGTATAGGGGCTTGTCGTGTATAATTTTCGTTTTTCCCAATTGGACTGCCACTAGGTTCTCATTAAAAATGGAGCATGATTTAAATTCTGGTTTGGCTATTAGTGCTCTTGCTCCAATTGAACTTGTTTTAGTTTGCCAGCGAGTACAAAGGCGGACATTTATTCTTTTCTCTATGTTTTCCATTGTCTTACCAAAGATGGCGTTAACAAGGAGCTTGAACAAATCTTTCTCAAATTCGTTTTTTGCATTATTTCTAAGTGATGTATTTAAATCGATGTAATTTTTAAGCCATGGTGATTGATTGAACTTCAGCACACGATGGATTTTCTTCAGTTTTAAACCATGTCGAAGGCATTGTTTTAGATTTCTATAGTGGATGATGTATTTGGTTTTGTTATATAAATTTGGTATTAGTTTTTTTATTTTACTTTTAGGTGGTGCTATGCTTTCCGGGCAGAAGGGTAGATCATTATGAGCATCATGTAGATGGGCTGGGTACTCCAAATCTACTTCTAGAACATACCCCTGTGGTGATTCATCATCTATATTTATATCAAAGTTTTGGATTTCGTTGTTATGTAACCATCTGAAACCACCATATGGTAGATATTGGCTCATTGCAGACCCATATAAATTCGTAGCATCCAAGTACATTATGTATTTTTCTGGTTTCTGTGGATCAAAGTTACTCACATATTGATTATTTGCTACGGCCTCTCTTTTACTACATTGTGCTACACCGCCTCTAATACCCTTTTTGAAGAAATTCACCATGTCGATATCTGTTAATAGCTCCAGTTGAATTTTGGTTTTATATAACATAGCATCCCAACTTAAAGATGGCGCTGTAACGTATTGGCAGGGGTCAAGATGGTATTCTTTAAGACAAACTTTCCTAAAGTTTTCAAAAACATCTGCTAATAGTAGTACATCTGACTTTAAATAAAGCATGGCATAATCACTTAAAGATTGACACTTAAATATATCCCAAACTTCCTGGGCTCTTTCAAAGTCCTCATCAGAAATGTGCTCACTTGTTAGTGTGTTATAAAATTTATCTTTAGATGGTAGTTGATTTTCCTTGAGCTTCTCAATGGCGTCAATGTGGGAATATGGAAAGACTCCTTTACGCCTCATTAACTCAAACTGATTAATGTCTGGAAAATGTTTTTTAACTTCCACACACTGGCTGGAATCCAAAGTAGTGCTTAAATTATCCAGAGACTTTGCTAGGAATCTAAATGAATCGGTGAATCTCAGATTCATGTATATATCTCTATTTTCTGCTTTTTCAACTAGTATTGCTTTAGAGAAAGAAATATACTTTTCTTTGGTCTGAGCAATGACCGATACTCTTTCTCCTTTTGTTGATAGTTCTTTAATAAACAGGTGACAGTCATAGTTGCTTAAATTATGGAAGAACACTGGTATAGTATTTGAGATCTTGTAATTAATATTACATGAATTATGTGCTGGTCCTCTATATTGACCTGTTAAATGGCAATGATCTCGGACC